GCTGTAACTGTTATATTTGGTTGCATTGTTGGAAGAAAAATATGATTGACACCATTTTTTTTTTCCAAAAATCAGAAACACCAATAATTTTTTTATTTATGTTAATTTTCTTAATATATGCCACAAATATATAAATTATTTTATTCATGTTACTAATGTAAACGTTGCATGGTTTAAATAAAATTTAAATTTCAATTAATTTTGAATGATAAAAATAACTTAAATCTCATTTAATAAAAATATGTAACTTTCAGTTACACAATTTATATTGGCAAGTCCCATTTGGAATGTTCTTATTTCTGTAACGCCTTTTTATGTTTTAAAATACAAAATATTTTTATTTTTATTTTGATACTCTATATTCTTTTAATATTATAATATAAATACATATTTCACAACTAATTAAGAATGACTACAGATATCTCTATTTTCTATTGCAGTCATACAACAATAATTTTTTTTTCTAGATATTACAAAAATACATCAAATATTTTAAAAAATCGAATCCCAGAATCACGAGTCAAAGAAGTTTAACGATGATAGAAAAACCACGAATGTTGTATATAAAGACGTGCTTAATAATATTTAGATTCACTTTTTAAATTATTTTTTCCTCATTTATTAAGTTATGGTTTTTATTTTATTCTATATTTTTATATACTTTCTCTTATGTCATATCGTTTTTCGTGCAAATGCACGGGGTATAACTAGTATATATATAAAGAGGAGCAACAAAGTATTAATTATATTATCATGCATTAAATTTTATTATCCCTCCAAAACTTTCAACATTCAATTTTATTAGTTTTCTGCATTAAACTTTATTATCCCTCCAAAATTTTCAACATTCAATTTTATTAGTTTTCACATACCACCTAAAACTATTACATTCAGATTTCAAAATGATGTAATGCTCATTCTTCGATATGATCTGACAGGATTAATGCCTATTTCTTTTTCACTTTACTTATTTGTTGAATGAATGTAACAACATAATTATTTAATATATATATATATATATATATATATTCAATTTCTTTTGTGTTTGAGTACGTAAAAATAATTCACACAATAATTCAGATTTTAAAATTACAAAAACAAATAATTAAGAAATAAAACTAAAAATATCCAGTCAAGTATTTCAATATATATATATCCACCTACAAGAAAAAACAATATATCTAATTGTATAAATCATTAATAATGAATTATATTTCAAACACCAATATATCTCATTCTGATGTAGCCATATTCTAATTTTATATATATTTTTTTTATTCTCAATCTAAATGTTATGATGCAATATTATGTTACTAATGTCAATTAACTAAAAAGCATTACTTAATCTAGTTTTTGTTTTTCTTATTTTTTTATTTTCTTTTCTATGAATTTGTATCTGTGCAAATGCACATGTTGATTACTAGTATATATTGATATGGGAATTTCGAATGTTAAATATCGTTCGATGAATGTTTGTCTGTAGAACTTGAAATAACAAATGTAACTTTTACGTTTGGTCTCATATATTGTTATAATATGTCTAGCAGGATGGACTATTAATCGATTTTAAGCCCAAATAGGCAAATACCATTGTTTGCAACCCTGTTTTGGGCTTTTATTATTTTTAGTACTTTTTAATTTTATATATTGTTCAGGATTTAGACCTTTACATATGCCTCATCGATGTTATTTTGAATATAATTGAGACTTTGATATTTAATTTCCTAGTTTATCTTTTTTTCTTTACAATTACCCATATTTTTTTAATCATCATGTGTATTACGCAGTCTATGTTATCATGACAACAACATATATATAATTAATCAAAATTATCAAATGCACTCACAAAATTCTTTTTAATGTTATTATTATTCTAGAATCATTACACATAGCTGTTGATTGATTTTGTAATTTGTATATTCCTCCTTGAAATTAATTACATGTACGCGGGAGTATTTTTCTCTATAAATAAATGAAAAAATAATGTCCGACGTCGCAATGTCAATCAGACAAATTGAGTAAAAATGTAAGACAAAATTATCGTCCTAAAAGTCGTCAAACTAGAAAACAAACAAACAAACAAACAAAAAAAAATAAAAATATATATATATATATATAAATAATGACAAATTTAACGTGTGGCAACATCTGGAAACATTTCTGATTTTCTTTTATTTGGTCTTTTTTTTCCTAATGGAGGGTGTGGAATGTGGATTGTGATCTTTTTCTTGACCAAATTTAAAATAATTTTTCTTTTTACAAAAATACATTTTATGTGTTTTTGGGAAACATTAATTAGTCTTTTAATTTGGCTTTTTCTTGTTCGGGGTTGTGAATTGTGATTTTATTTTCTTGCAGAATTAAAATATACTTTTATGTGTGTTTGGGACACATTAATTAGTCTGTCGTGTGCCTAAAACGTGTTACATTTTCGCTTTACGAAATCTCCATTTACGTGGACTTAACACGGGCAAGCGTTGACTCTAATTCTAATAAAAAGGCCAACTCTGTTTGCCTTAATTTATACGGATTTCAATTTTTAATCTCTGTTTAAATTTTGATCTTTGTTAAAAATAGTGTGTTGCAATATCATGCAAAATTGCTTATAGCAATTTTAGTCTCCGTTTTAATCTCTGTTGACTTCATAATAAAATTGGTGGTAATATATCATGCAAGCTAAAACATTGATTAATGCAAGCTAAAACATTGATTAATTTATATATAGAAGTAAATTGATGTATTAGCACATTTTTGGAGCTTATTTATTTTAGGAATGTATCAACTATCAATACATAATTTGTGAAGAATTGTAGATAGATCTATAAACCGTGCTATATATTTGATGGTCCTCTAGTAAAATGGAATAACACTATATTTGAATTCATGGTAATTAATCCATATATTCACTTTGATTTAACTTAAGTCAAGTTTAGTAGACTAAATAAACTCAATTATGTAACTATAATCCTAATAAAAAAAGAATAATGTGATCAAACCCATTAATAATCATTACCACATGATTTCGTATTCAAGCTAGCGTCCATGGATATTTTGCTCCATAGATCTCAAAACACTGTATATGATATTTAATTTTTATCAACATAATAAAATGACAGTATCTCTGACATTATCCAAACATTAATTGCACTAATAATAATTAAAAAAAAAAAAGATCATGATGGATTTTTTATTTGACATATGCAAGTCATTTTATATCTAAATACACTGAATATGGTATATGGAGATCATTGTAAAATATAAATCCTCTTTAATTTGTCAGTAACAGTTTTATAAATTATGTCCATGTATTAAGACATAACGCACGAGCTTGACCGCACAAATTAGCTAGGCTACTTATATAAAAGCATCTCATTTAGTATTTGACAATGAAAGATAAATTTAGTAGATCTTTTCCTAATTGTGCTTTGCCAACGTTAAAATTATTGAGTGGTGGTCATATTCAAACCACATCTAATTTCTTCCTATTTCTCATATGTGTAACAAAAGTAATGATCTTAATTAGTGTAATTTGCAGTTAGAACGTCCTGTTTTTCAATTATCTCAGAAAATCAAGAATAAAAGGCACCTTAGTTAATGTGTCCTATTAAATATTAATCAATTATTACAACTAAAAATCACCCACAACAGCTTATAAGTGATTTTCGAGCTTATAAGTTATAGCTTACAAGTTATAGTTGAAAAACTAGCTTATATGATAAAAGTGTTTAGTAAAATTAGTTGAGTAAGCTAGTTGAAATAAAATTTGAAAAAGCTTATTTGAAAAACTATTAAAAAAGGCTTATGAGATAAGTTCATACTTTAAAAAAACAATTCGTCTTACCAAACAAAATTATTTAAATATAGAAAACTTATAAACTAACCAAATAAACTATTCACTATGTATGGTATGTTAAAATCATGTCACATCAGTTGGTAGATATATTAATTCGAGTTCTTCTATCCACTGACTAAATAAACTATTCACTATGTATGGTATGTTAAAATCATGTCACATCATTTGGTGGATATGTTAGTTCGAGAAGGATGAGGCAGTATACCCCAAATTCGTCTAGGAGATTATTAAAAACAAAAAATATAGAACTCGTTTGTTCATTAACGGATTAGACCTCAATTAAAGGTTTGGCCACTCAAAATCATTAGCATGTTTGGTGACGACCCCCATTTGATTAACTTTTTGTACACAACGCTTATTTAACAAACGACTAATTCAATGAAATGGTCAAACAAAGTAAGAAAATACGTTATCTGCTAATACAATCAATTATAACAAAGTAATAAAATACGCTATCTGCTAATACAATCATTTGATTAACTTTTTGTACACAACGCTTATTTAACAAATGACTAATTCAATGAAATGGTAAAACAAAGTAACAAAATACGCTATCTGCTAATACAATTAATTATCCAATGTTTAGTATTAGTTAATTGTAAAATGAAGTCATAATTATTTACTTAAAGAAGAATATTCACTAAAACTCCAATATAGAGCACTAGGACTAGGGACCACATGGCAGCCAATGAAGAATCTTTTTTTTTTTTTAGCTTACAAAACAATTTGAAAGTCCCTCCAAAAAATTGTTTGACATGTTCAAACAAGGGTTTGCACCACGAAACCAAATTCCTCAAAACAAAATTAAATTTTCACATGTAGCCAAATAATTCAACACTCCATATAATAATTATTTAATTTTTTTTTCCCAAGCATTTATGTAAATCCCCCACACTCCATTGACCACCAAAAAAACCTCTTGTATATATATATATTCCCTCCATCACACCCACTCACACATTTCCATCATCACCCCAAAATTAAACCCCAAACAAAAACCAAAAAAGAAAAAATTACAATAAATCTCAATACCTACCAATATTTATTGTATATCACCCAACAAAATATATATATATATATATATATATATATATATATTCACCACCCAATTTGTTCTCCAACCACCATAGCCACCGTGAAAGCTGCCATGGATCTGCCGGACATTTCCTCCGGCCGTTCTCCTAGGAGAGAACTCCAAGGACCTCGTCCGACTCCTCTCAAAGTCCGAAAAGACTCTCACAAGATCCGAAAACCGCCAATTGCCCCACCGCCGGCGGCGGCGGCACCACCGACGGACCACCACGCGCCGCCACGTCCGCCGGTCATAATCTACACCGTCTCCCCCAAAATCATCCATGCAAACCCTAACGAGTTCATGTCGCTAGTCCAACGCCTAACCGGCCCAAACTCGTCTGCCTGCGCCACGTCACCCTCGGCATCCACCTCGCACGCATTCCAAGAAAGCGGCGGAGCAATATCGCCGGCCGCCAGACTGGCGTCGATCGAGAAGACAAAGTCGCCGGTTTTCGGTCAAAGCATTGGGGGTTTGACCAATGATGATGATCAAGGGCTTGAGAATATGGGATTGGTGGATTGCCATAATATTCAAAGGACGGGGAATTTTCCGGGGATCTTATCACCAAATCCAAACGCTCTATCGCCAATCCCACCGACTTTTTTCTCACCACCATCATTGGATAATATTAATAATAACTACAATAATAGTAGTAATAATCCGTTGAGCTTTTTCCATGATTTTAGCCCGGTTTTGCATAGTAATAATAGGAATTATTATTTTGATAGTCAAAGTAATAATTTCTTGTTACAAAGTCCCTCAACTAATTTTGTTTCCCCCAATATTATTAATACACCTTCCCCAAATACATTAGATCTTTTTCATACCTTATTTGACCTGTAACAATATAGTTGAATTTAAATAGAGACACGAAAAAATTAGTATAGGNGTGTGGGGTTAAGGTCGATGTCGGGTCCTTCCTCTGAATCTTGTCTGTCTTCTGGGATTGGGATGGGGAGATTACTCCAACGGGAGTTTTTTTTGGCTCTATTTCTAGGGCCTAGTTGGGGTTTTGGTGGGGAAGGAGTTGGTGTAGGCCTTCGGGGTGCGGCTCTGAGATTGGTCTTTGGTTTGGTTGGGGGTGGATCTATGTTAGCCGTCATCAGATCTTAGTGAAGAAAGTGACTAGATTTGCGTCTTGGCCTGGAGCCTGTCTTGGGGGTGTCATCTTCAGCTCTCGTCTCGTGCGGCGGTGTTTTGAAGCAGTTTGTCGGGTGTTGGTGTGGGCTTTGTTTTGTTTTTACTTTATTTTGTTTTTAGATGTTGTGAGTGTTTCTATATTTTTATGTGGTTGTTTTGGTGTTTATTCTCTCTTTGGGAGTATTATTTTCATTAGTGGGAGTAGTGTCTTATTGCGAGTGCGCTGTGGTAGTCTAGACTGCCATTTGGGTTGTCCTTTCACTAGATTCAGCTAGGTAGCTGCTTTGACTATTTCTGATTGTTGTCTGAATGTAAATATGCGTTTTTCTATAGACTCTGTCCTTAAAAAAAAAAGAAAGAAAGAAAGAAAGAAAAGTAGACATGCTAGAATAAATTTATCCCACAAGAAGAAACTGTAAAAAACTTATTTCCAGTTGCTCGTCTCTTCCAACAATCATATATAAAATAAACAAAAAATAATTTATTTTAACTAAATAATAAATATGGATGACTTCATAAGTCGAGTCATCCGATACCTCCATAACAAAACTGCAGCATTTCATTATAATTACAATAGTTTTTTGTGTTGTTATCTATAACTCAACCAAAGAATTACTCGTTACCTACTTTAATATATTGGACTAATTTGGCAAATTAATTACTTCCCCAACTCATGTGTGATCAAGTCAATGATAAAATAAATAAATAAATACTATGTCTGAGAATTTGTCCTTATTTATTCACAACAAACAAATGTGCATATATTTCTTCTGGATGGCTCAAGTTCTAGGACACCGTATAAAAAGGCACAAATTATGAAAATGTTTACTAAAGTACTAAGAATTTTTTTTTTTTTAATTATCTAAATTTATTGAAAGGCTATGTCAAAGAATAAAGATCCGCATAAAATATTGAAAGCAAAAGGTGAATTATGATATAGGACGTGACTCTAACAAAGTTAGATCCGATTAAACATATAAGTAAAATTATAAAAATGTTAGGCTACTATCAATCCACCTAATACACGGAGACGTGCTTTTATGATTATTAATAAATAATTTGTGACTAGAAAAACATTGCATTTTGTTCAAGTTTAGAAATTATTGTCTTGCTCAACCATATATTTATAAATCACAATTTTTGGACAAAAATACATACTTATAATAGTTAAGCGAATTGACCTATTATTATTATTTTTTTTTTTGACAAAAATGCATACTTATTAAAATTAGTTAATTAGTACATAAACATATATAGATCTATAAACTATGATGTTAATGAGGTTCTAATCTAAAATTAATACTTAATCGTGGTACTAAGTAGATAAATATCACTTATTCAATTTTCCTCTCTCCCATAGCATTTTTTAAGATAGCATGCATGATGCTTCCAAGAAAAATGAATTAATTAAAATATTATTTATTTTAAACAAAACAATTAATGTAAAAACAGACGTCATGCTTACCCAGTGCTGACATCATACTATGCCTTTAATTATTGCACATTCATGTGCACCGCCCAACATCCATATGTATATTCACCTAATGAAAAATTTATTTTGTTACATATTTTATTTTATATCTCATGAAAAGATGCACATTTTCTAGTTACTTTAAAGAAACTAAGCTGATGAAGTTTAGACAAAAAGGAACATTTCATTAAATCAAAAGTTGGATATTAGGTTTGACTTCACCATGATAGTGTATTAGTTTGTTTTCACTTATATAATAAATTTAAAATCATGAACGAGTTATTTGCGAAAACGATTTATGCATAAACGAAAATCCTCTTATTGTTCATCCGAAACTTATAAAAAAGATACATAAATGAGTTGTTTGCGAACGAGCTCGGCTCAACCTTATTTAATAAGCGAGCTCGATTAGTATTTTGAGTTTAATTTATTTATTTAAATGAAATATCCAAACTCGAACTTTCACGAGGCGATGAGATTTAGCATTAACCATCTTTATTTTAACGCCATGCATCAAATTCCCGGTTTTGTAAATTATATAATAGGACCCTCTCTTATTTTAATTTGGGTCTTTTGTATTTTATTTACCAAAAAATGTGTCTACACTCTTAATTTGCATTCTTCTATATTTTTCACAACTTTTTCAACCTTCAAGTAACGATTGAATTAAGATAAAAGTTATGTACCACGTATTTTAATCTTAATATATTTTCATATTTTGTGTCATTAGATTTTGAATTTTACTTGGGTTTTTATTCATTTAGAAATCTCTTCATGCATTTTCATTGTATTCTTAATCCGTTTTTCCAATGTTAAACAACAATTGAAAAAAAAACACACAGAACACAACAAGAATTTCTGCAGAAATTCAAAAACAAAAGTCAAGTCACCATTAGAAACCACCTCATGCAACTTGATGCAACTTGTGTTACCATAAAAACACTGCAATTGACCAAGCAAAACTTCAACTTGCAGCTCAAAAATCACAATTTTGGCCTTTTCTTGTATCTAAATTTATTTTAATTTATTTTGTATTTTCTTGAATCCACAATTTTAACCACAAAATAAAACAC